TTTTTTGCATGTCAAGTCGACGTTAGTTGATATTTCACTTTCTTTACTGGCATATCGGAAATTCTTTTACTTGTGTCACAGCGTTGGGAACATGCTAGAGAACCCTGTCTCATTAACCTATCCAAACTTGCAGGCGCAGCAAAGGAAGGCGTTAAAGCAGCCGGAGAAGGAGTCGCCAATGTTGCCGGTTTGTTCATTTGTTTTTTGTCCCGCAATAAGTTCAAAGTTATTTCTTTACAGTAGGTGCCTATAATACGACAAAGCACGGCGTTGAGGCAGTCGGAGTTGGTGTCGCAAAAACAGCATGTTGGTTTTTTGAGGAAATTTTTGACTTTCGACAAACAGAATTTCCAATTCAGCCGGTGCATATGGCGCTGCTAAAGAAGGTGCCGCTGCTGTTGGTGAAGTTGTCAGTGAGTTCTTTCGTTTTTGAATTGAGCACACTGCAAAGTATAGTTGAGTTTCATGAATTCATGTGTGTATTGCACGACATGCGCGGTATCTCACCTATGTGATTAGGTTTTTCAACTTTTAGAGATCTATTCGTTTCCATTTCTTTTCGAGTGTAAATAGATTGAGTCTCAGTGATTGTTTATAACACTTATTCGGAAATCATAGCTGAAACCGTCTTAAGTTCAAGCGCTTCTGGGGGAGAAAGGTAAGAGATGTTGTTTTTGCGAGGTCCGGGATGAATTCCTGGAATTTAGAGCGGGATACATCGTCGACCCCGAGTTTGGCTATTTTTAAACCTCTGTTTTCGACTTTTGGACTAGCTTTTATGATAGTTGGACAGAGTAAACAAAACTCTATGCAATAATTTTTCTGGCAACTCTCGCTGGCTTTTCAAAATTCCTAGAAATAATTTTCTGACGCTATCAGATTCTATATTAAGCATCCCAAGTCTCAAAGAATTACAAACGGCCAGCAGTCAGGGTATCATATGATGCTGCTTTTTTGCTCTTTCTGATAGTTTTTTTTCCTTCATGATTTATATAATATCTGAGGAGAAAATCAT